GGATTCTGGGCCCTTGCAGGTTATTTATAACATAAACGTAAGATTCTACGATGAGAGACACTATATTATACTAGACCCAGTAATGTCTGCAAGCGGATGTTTGCATGCACTCCAAATATACCACTATCTAAAAGAGAACATTAAAAGCATAGTTTAGCCAGAAGGGAGAAGATGTGGTTAGGGTACAGAATAGCACTTCCCTCTATACTGTGAGAACTGCTCTTCACCAAGAGGACTGTCTTATTTAAAAATAAATGGCGCAACATTAATTTCTCATATGACTTATGACTCATTTATTTTGAATAGAAAATAAAATTAGTACATCTCTAAGACACAAAACTAGGACATGATTTCAAGTTTAAATAATAGAATTTAAAAGCAGGCAGCCGATATTATAATTGCAAAAGCAGAGAAAAGACACTTTTAGGAATTGCAATTACAGTTTTTAAAAAGTGAACATTAATCCTAAATCTGAGACATGACGTGACTCCAGATATCTACATGAGAGTCCAACCCCTCGCCCACCTGGAACTCCACATTTAAATTTAGGCTGAAAATGAGAAATGCAAGTTGTTCCTGTTTTTTTCATCATCGTTTTGTGGGACTAGATGTGGAGTTATGCCAATCTCTTCTCACATATCCATCGATTTGTATCACTGCAATAACTATCTATCCAGCTGTTTCTTACATCTTCGTGAATTATTTCTGCGCAGTCTTCGTCCATCTTCCAATGTCCATTTGGCTCACCGGTGTACCAGTAGCTGAAACCCCCAAAGACAACATAATAATACATTTTAACCTGACATCAACTCAAAATGCTTTTTTGAGATTGATAGAGATAGAAAAATAAATGTCTATCCTATGTTTGGTTTGTTATCTGACATGAAATAAGCTTTTAAAGGACAAAATGTATGACATAAAGCTGCAGAGCGAGTGTCTGTCACAGCTCACCTTGACAATAGAAAAGTGAAATAATGAGTGAACCTTGTGGTCAGCGGGGTCCCATCGACCCACTTCCATCTGCCCTCTGTCTCTCGATCAGTGAGTCCAATCCACACCTTCTTACGAAAACTTGCTATGTATTCCTTGTCGTGGGGAGAAAAACGCACAATCACAACCACAACCACAATAGCCGCGTTCACATCGGAGTACTTTTCCCCGTACTTTTCGCGTTTAGTTCCGTTAGTACCCCTTATGTCGCTTTCACACCAAAAAGAGTACTGAGTGCCGGGAACTTTTACCCCCATTTTTAGTGCCTGCTGAGAGATGGTACTTTCCTGGGGGAAAAAAGTGCCCCAGTTCTGATTGGCTGGGCGAATTACAAACCACGCCCCGTAAAACTCTGAAATGTTTTGTAGAGCCGCCATTTTATTATCCTCGCATTAGCATTATTAGCATTAGTATTCGCCCAGCGCACAAACGCAGAGAGACTACAGTAACTTATGGCAACACAAAATAAAACATTGGAGCGGTGGAGATGAGGAGGTATCGGCGTTCTAGCGATTTACTCGGAAGGCTTCAGTAGAAGCTGCTGGGAGTCCCAGTCTCTCTATATGGCGCTGGCCAGCATGTGTAGTTCTGGGGGGGCGTTCGTTCCATTTCAAAGAGCTGTTTGGCGCTCGGCGTAACCTTGGCGCACTGCCACTCCAACATCCAATCCCAGAGTTTGAAGATTAATCACGGGGTTTGTCAACGGGACTGTAGTCCCAAACGATAGCTGGGGATTATGGGTAGTGTAGTGTCTTCGGCCATCCTAAACTCTGATTTTTTTTTCGGATTTCATATCGCATTAACACCATATCCCGACGTGCATTGCGGCTAAAACATCCAATCAGCGAGCTGAGGATCTTTCCTACGTCACTTTACAGCCCCGCCCACTTTTGGGGAAACCAGCTGTCATTTGAACGGCGATCAAGCCTGAAGCCACAGAGCTCTTCTGTTGTATACTGTCCTTTCTTCGTAGAGGAAGTACAGAAACACGTAACTCTGGATTTGTTTTAATGTTTGAGGTGCAATAAACGACACAGCAGCTTTTTGGCATGTTAAAACTATTATTTTCTGCCTCGCAGCTGGCGAAATTACAGCCTCGCCTACTGATTTTAATTTAACCATAGGATATCGAGCCCGATCGTCGATTTCATATGTGTGCTCTAAAATGATATTTATAAATGACTATTATCATTATTATAAGCAAGACAATAAATGGCAAAGATATGTAGAAAATAAACGTATTTGAGATAAGTTCATAACAAACGTAATGTGGGAGAAAATATGTTTCTAGAAGATATGTAGAAAATAAACGTATTTGAGATAAGTTCATAACAAACGTAACGTGGGAGAAAATATGTTTCTAGAAGATATGTAGAAAATAAACGTATTAGAGATAAGTTCATAACAAACGTAATGTGGGAGAAAATATGTTTCTAGAAGATATGTAGAAAATAAACGTATTTGAGATACGTTCATAACAAACGTAACGTGGGAAAACATATGTTTCTAGAAGATATGTAGAAAATAAACGTATTTGAGATACGTTCATAACCAACGTAACGTGGGAGAAAATACGTTTCTAGCTAAACGTAATTGAGAATGCAGTTTAGTTCTGTGGGAACGTAATTTTTAGGAGACAGGGTTGCAGGAGGAGAAGAGGTGCAAAATTCCGGCGGAATAATAATAATTTTGTCCATAGAATAACATATAGTTGGAATGCTGTATCAGCATTCCCACTAAATAACCATCAACATCAACCACCTCCACCCGTCCCTCAACCCTAAGACCACCGTCATTTTTGTTCACACCCTGGTCACTTCCCGCATTGACTACTGCAACTCCCTTCTCTTTGGTCTCCCTCTCAAATCCATCCACAGACTTCAAATGGTTCAGAACTCTGCCGCCCGCATCATCACCAGAACCCCCTCCATTAACCACATCACTCCTGTTCTTCAGCAACTTCACTGGCTCCCCGTCAAATCCTGTATCGTTTTTTAAGATTCTGCTCCTCGCCTTCAAGGCCATCCATAACCTCACTCCTCTGTACCTCTCCAACCTCCTGCACATTAACACACCCATCCGCACACTCAGGTCTTCTGCTTCCCTCAACCTCCCACCACCTCACTGCACCCCCCTTCCGTTTAACCACCATGGGGTCTAGAGCCTTCAGCCGCTCTGCACCCTGCCTCTGGAACTCCCTCCCATCTGACATCCGCAATACTGACTCTCTCCCCATTTTCAAATCACACCTCAAAACATATCTCTTCACACTCGCATATCCACCCTGATCATTATCCATCACACATCCTCTGTTTTTATTTATTTGGTTATTTGATTGATTTATATACTGCATTGTCTTGTTTATGTTTCTTATGCTGGTGTTCTCTATTGTGTATCTTGTTTTTTGTGTGTTTGTACGGTGACCTTGAGAGCCTTGAAAGACGCCTATATAAAATAAATGAATTATTATTATTATTATTATAAACCATAAAGAGACAAACTCAGAACATCAATAAACATGCATGCTGACCTACGGGCAGCGGCTAGTCAGTTAGCATGCTTATCTCTGCAGAACAACATATAGATGTTTTTAAAGTTACGTCAACATCCTAAGCTCTTCACATTCTGTTGATAATGATAGTTCATTTTTTTTACGTTTTAAATTTAAATTACTTATCTTACACATTTAAACAGAGGATATGATACAGCTGTTGTTGATAACGGTGATCACAATATTTATTTTCTTCACAAATATACGTAACTGAACCTAACATATCCTGTATAACTGATATGGTTCTGTTGAAAATAATGACAGCCTCTCCATTCAACAGGACAGTTTAGCAGAATGAATTTCCTAAAAACATGATATGGTGTTGGAATAAGAAAAGGAAACATGGATCCATACATTATCATTGATAGATTAACATAATATACAATGGGAATTCAATTCTATTTTAGATCTGGAGGCAAAATTGAAAATGACAGTTTCACAGCAAAACTCCCTGACTGAGGAGAGAGACAAGTTGAAGAGAATCAACCTCGGTAAGTATTAAGATGAAACTACTGCAATAATCAGGTTTTTGATCGGAAGGGGTATAAGGTATACTACATTGGTGGTGTATATGAAAGAAATAAAGGTGTATTTTCTCAGGCAGAACACGGAAGTGACACAAAGAAAACACGATTTGAACAACAGCCACAAAACAAAGAGCCAAGGCGTTTTCAACAACATCTGTTTCATTTCCTCTTCTTAAATGTGTAAGATAAGCCATCATTTATCATTAAAACGTAAAAAAAGAGAACTAACATTATCAGCAGAATGTGAATAGTGTTGACGTGTCTTCAAAGACGTCTATGTGTTGTGTTGCAGAGATATCTACGGAAATTAGAATGCTAACTGACTAGCCCCGCTGTTTCTTGATGTTCTGAGTTTGTATCTTTATGGTTTATTGCACCTACAATATTGTATGTTGCTTGGGATAAAAGCCTCAGATAACTAAAAAATAATATATTGTTACCTTATGTGATATTTAGAAGTGAATAAGTATTATTTACCCCTTCAGATCAAACCCCTGATTATTGCATAAGTCTCATCTCAATACTTACCAAGGTTGATTCTCTTCAACTCGTCTCGTTCTTCAGTCAGGGAGTTTTGCTCTGAAACTTCAATTTTAGTGAAGAGGTTACCAACAAAATGTGATTATGTGCCCTAATAAACATATGATTCAGTTTAAAAACTAAATGTCTGAGCTGGCTTTGTTGAAAATAAAGCACACATTATTGTTCAGTAAAAGAAAATGTCTACAGGGATACATTTCTGGAAAGCTATCAAGGTAACTAGAGTTTCATACTCAAACAAGTTGTTTACCATTTGCACTTAAAGTAAGAGACACAAATTACGAAGACTTAAAAATAACAAAACGCAGGGAAATATTGAGAGCAGCTTGTAGAAAATACAGGAGCTCAATGATTCATTATAGTTGAATAGTTGACTTTATCATTGTACATACCATCCTTCACAGTTCTCTTCAGCTCATCTCTCTCCTCAGTCAGGTTTTTGCTACTGGCCTCCAGATCTAAAACAGAATTCCCATTGTATATATTATTTATGTTAATCTATCAATGATAATGTATGGGTCTATGTTTCCTTTGCTTAATCTAACACCATATGATGTGTTTTCAAGGAATTCTTTCAATTAAACGGTCACGTCGAATGGAGAAGTTGTCATTATTTCCAACAGGACCAGATGAGTTACACAGTATGTTAGTTCAGTTAGTGATTTGTGAAGAATTTGTGTTCCCTCTTACAGCCTTAACACAAAGAGCTGAGGCGTTATCTACATCAGATGTATCATTTCCTCTTCTTAAATGTTTAAAATAAGCCAAAATTAAAATATAAAACATAAAAAATGAACTATCATCAACAGAATGTGAAGAGCCAACAGTGTTGACATTACTTCAAAGACGGCGATGTTTTGTGTTTCAGAGATATCTACGGAGATTAGCATGCTAACTGACAGGCAGCGGCTAGTACGTTAGCATGCTCACTGATCTGCATGTTTCTTGATGTTCTGAGTTTGTATCTTTATGGTTTATTGCACTTAATGTAAGTTACTTTGGATAAAAGCCTCAGATAAATTAAATGTAATCAATTGTAATATAAGGTGATATTTAGTACTGTACAGTATACCCCTTCAGAACAGTTTCATCTTAATACTTACCAAAGATGATTCTCTTCAACTCGTCTCTCTCTTTAGTCAGGGAGGTTTGCTCTGAAACTGTCATTTTCAGTTGAGAGGTTACCAACAAAAATGTATTATTTCCAAGCTGATTTTCTTTAAAATCATCCCAGCATTAAAATTATTGAGTACAAAGAATTGAATGGACATTTTCTCTGATTAAACGTGTTGAACGGGATATTGATTGAGTCAAATGTGCAAATTAAGTTTTATATACATTTAAGGGTCATATTGTTCACCCTAATGAACAGTGATATGTTTCTCGAAATAATTGAGGGCTAGTGATCCTCATATCTTGTAAGATAATCATCTAAACAAGGTCGTTAACCACTTGCACTATCTGGCTACAGAAGTGAGAGTCACAAATTAAGAAGACTTACAGAGAGTGAGACGCAGGGAAATGTTGAGAGCAGCTTGTAGGATACACAGGAGTCCCAAACTCACAACAAGCAGTCTGTTCATTTTCATTCCTGTGTGTAAAACACCAGATTAAACTTTTCACTTAATTACATTAAAGTACATTCTGTGAGGTATATAAAAAGTCTAACCCTGTCCAGGCTATTTCGGTAGTAATGTTGGGCATTTAAACATGGGATTAATGGAGAATGACTCACTTTTGGAGCCAGCCTCAAGTGGCTGTTTAAATAACTTCATACTAAGAATGACATTAGTCAACATTTCATTTATATACCATCTATTAATGTGTGAAATTCTGAAGAAATGTATAAAGTATAACGATGAAAAGGGAGCATACTGTACTTTGTTGACGTTAACATTGAATGTAAAGCAAACATCACATTATAAACACACACAGCTAAGATGAAGTTCAAAAAAATAAAACAATAGCAAAGCAAAATGTAAAAAAATGCAAAAGTGGTTTACACACATTTTTAGATAAAAGTGACATTTTATATTTATATAGATAATATTATAAATGTACTTGTCACTGAGATTGAGCAGATTTTGTCTTCTAAAAATCTATATACTTTGTATGAACTTAAAGGTGGGGTAGGTAAGTTCGAGAAACCGACTCGAGATCGCTAAAATTTGAAAATACACAGCCGGAAAAAATCTGCCACTTCCTTACAGAGCCCCTCCTCCAACACACACGAACGCGCACATGACCAATGAGGGCACGAGATAAGCTTGTGCACAGATGGAAGGCTGACAGGCAGGTAGGCCATCCAGTTATTTTAGCCGGGCCGGCTAAAATGATTGGTCGTGCTTTTTACAGTACTACGGCTTCCACAGATTAATTTTTTTATGGATTTTTTGTCAAAGCACTTAAGATATTCATTGCTATCGGGATGTTAAGAGCATTCCATGGAATATAACAAAAAGTGTATCTCGAGCCGGTTTCTCAAACTTACCTACCCCACCTTTAAAGTGGACCTATCATGCTATATTATAATAATATAGTGTAGGACCATACCTATATAAGGGATATTTATACTTTTTTTTTTTTCAAAATACCAAACAGATCATGCATTTTAGCCATGCCTCATTTCGCTCAATTTGAAAAAGATTTGCTCTGTTTTTGCAAGGGCTGATTCTGTGAGAACAGCACCACCTACAGGCCTGGCATATGTACTACAGCGTATCCAGCGCTTTCGAACTCAATGGCCGTGGCTGTCTCCTCCTGATTGGTGGAGTTGGCCCAATAGCTGTAGCGCCACTTTCCTGACGTCAGGACAGTGTTCAAATCTGGATCAGTTTTTATCAGATCCGTTGCAGCCCCTGTTTTAGAGATTTGGGTATGGAGGAAAATAGAGAGGGTTGTGTTTTCTGACACTTGGTGAGTTCCCTGGAACACCGGGGAGACATATTCATGTATAAAAGACGAACAAAAGTGCATTTTGCATGATAGGTCCCCTTTAAGGTTTGAAATTGAATATAAAAGACAAGCTGTGCTTTACACATTGTTGTTAATGTTTTTTTTTTTGACTATGATTTCTGTCTTATCAGAGTGTCTTCTTAAATGGCACTTATTTCTAAACATATTCTTGTATTTAATGATTCTCTCAACTTCATCTCTCTCTTTCACACTCTCTTCTTCCTCATTTTTGAGTAATTTGCCTTTGTTCCTGAACTCATAACTTTCTGCTTTGCTGTAACTTTTGCAGATCCTTGGGTACCTTGGGTAACTGCAGCATCATATGAGTTTCTACTACTTGTAAAAAACTTTCCAAACAATGTAAACCATTTAAAAACCTACATTGACTTTAAACCCCCTTTAAAGTCAATGGAGGTTTATTCTGTACAGTGTTTAGGTGTTTAAGTGCTGCCTGAAAAGGTAGACTTTGGAACGCATTTAAACAAAGTCACAATTAGTAGTAACTAAGGAGTATTGGTGTAACATGTACGTATTTTTGCGGTATATGTATTATTTCATGTGTATTTTATTAGGGTTTTACTTTGAAAGCAATATATGTAAATACCAACTAGGGACATGGGTTGAATATTAGCAACAACTATAAACTCTCTGTTCATCACATCAGTTTCATGCTCATAATTGAAACTATGTTAAATTGCATGCCAGTAAGACAAGCTGAACATGTTTTTTTCAGAGCAGCCACAGTTAAGGTTTGTGAGATTCTCAGATGCTGTTAAATGTTTACACTTAATTGTGAAATATAAACTTCCTCTTCAAAATGAATGTGGCAGGAATGACATCCCTGAGGCCGTGGGCAAAATTCTCCTAATTACAGTTGTTTTCAATTGCTAAAACACATTTTTGACAACAGGGCTCATTTTCTCAAAACACTTAACACAATTCTAAAAACCACACACCCAAAGTGCAAAACACCTCGTTTTTCTTGCAAAATGAGGAACTGCACCCAAAACTACATCAACACTTCACCAAATGACACACACTTCACTTATAGTACAAGACACTTTGTCCAACCAACTACACAAAGTAGTGCTTTATCTAAAGCACACTCAAGTCTACACAAATATGTCCAGAGACAAAAATATACCGTTGTTATACTTTTATTTTCTCAGAAAAAAATTGGTGCAACCTTCATGCAGAACAAATAGTAACAGTTGTGCAAACAAAAATGATGCCTCAAACACAGTAAAATGTAAAGGAAAACTTTTAAACAAAAAAACAGAGGAGAGAAAAGTGCTTCGGGTGCATCTCGCCGCCTAGCTGGGTCTGGCCACAGCACCTCATCCACATCACAAGCAATATCTTCCCTGGTTAAACATCGAGAGAAGAAGCGTCTTGAGTGTTGTCCCTGGATAGCACTCACATCATTGTCATCACAAACATGTGCAGAAACACCAATATTCTGTTGAAACAAAACATTTGTATTTCTCTCCACAACAAAATGTATGCACAGCAAACACAGTTGCAGTTGTGTGAACCAAAAGTATGCTCTCTATCGGATACAGTAAATGGAAAAGACAGCTTTAACCGTTATGCTGCAAATAAAGTCTTCAACTGACTTCAGTTCATCCTCCCTCTCACTCTTATCTTCCCTCTACCTCTTCCTCTTGCTGCTATCCATATATCCATGTGTAAAAAGGTATTATGTGGAGCCTTGTTGCTTACATCCTGATTGATGAGTCAACAATAAAACATTTCCGTGTTATGGTCATTTGGCATGTGTATTTGTTGATTGGTTCATGTGTGTAGCATTTTTAATGGCAGTGTTTTGAAAATGGCAAACAAGTGAAAATGTGTGATTTCTGTGTCTTACTTAGAGAACCGTGTGCAGTGTTTAGCAAAAAGGGCCAAGTTGAATTGCAAATTGGGTGCAGAGCTGAAAATGTGTTTAGAGTTTTGGAGATTTGAGCTCAGGTTTTGCTCTTTGAGCGAGAGTTTAAATAATTAGGCTTTATGTGAGATTTGTGTGTGTTAGCAACTGAAAACAACTGTAAAGGAGACCTTTCTGCCTGACCTGTGAGCAATGAGAACGATTTAATGTTGCCACACTTGACACCCCAGTTATTCTACTTTAATCCTCAGCCCTTTAAAACAGTTTGCTCCCTCTGTCAGACATACCACAATACGGTACGTTTCTCCACTTTTTACTACATCTTCTCATGGAAGTTGTAAACATTGAAACTTGCTTCAATGCAAGGGTTAGGCAGGCTCTTTGTGGGCGCACCTATAGGGTTGCTCGGCTGTGTGTCGAGATCTCTGTGGGATATTTTCAAGCATGGCTTTGGGAAACATGTTGTTGCTAGGGTGCCCTAAGCCGTGTCTTAGTTTACAGTTTGTAATATATCTTTCCCATTCAGCTATTGAGTTATCTTATATTAAACTATTGCACTGAAACTTAATTGGCTGATGAATACATTTCTCACACTAAAGGATAACCTGTATCAGC